TTCCCCTGTGATCATAACAGGAGGACTTCTCACCTTTCTTAAAGACAGGAATAATCAGTGATTTAGACCAGTCAGAAGAGATCGTATTTGATTCCAATATACTGGTTAACACTTCCATTAACCTGACTAAGAGCACCTTACCACTATCCTTGTATACCTCTGGAGTTAGTCCGTCTGGTCATGTCGCCCTTCCTTGTTTCAGGTCACCTACCGCTTTCTTGACGTCTGCTAGTGTTGGGGGTCTATCTCAATGTTCCATTCAGGATCCGATTGGATAGCGGGCAACGTAATGGTGTCTGGAGGCCAGTTAAACTACTCCTCGAAGTGTTCTGCCCATCGTTCCAGTCGTCTCCTCTGCGAGTTAATCGCAGACCCATTCTTCTCCACTATGGCCTCACTAACTGTTATTGACCTTTTCCCCCAGTTTCCTTAATAAGTCTAAACAGCTGTCTACTGTTACCGATCGCCGCTGCCTTTTCCATCTCTTTAGCCTTCCCTGCCCACCACTGTTCGTGCTCGTTACATAGACTTTTTCTCAATCTACTTTTAAGTTGCGCTCGCTCTTCATTACACTCAGAGCCTACAGGGATGCATTCACGTGCATCCATTAGTTCGGAAGAAGCTGCTGATATCCACTGGCTCTTTTTAGTCACTATTTCGGAGTCTGCTACGGTCTTCAACGCTGCTTTCACGGTGGACTGGAGATGGCATCAAGCTTCTTTTGAATGAGTGATAGTCTTCTGTTCCAATAACTGCCTGGGCAACTTCTCACTGAGCACGGCTTTGGTGTTTTCGTTGTTGAGCAGCACTCATAGTGGTTGTGTTGCCAAATTTTTCTTACGCCCATTGAGACTCAGGCATATACGCGCTTGGACCAACGCGTGGTCACTATCCAAACACGTACTCCAGAAGGAGCAGCAGTCTTCCACCGATCCTCTCCAGCGATGACTAATAGCAATGTGGTCTATCTGTGTGCACCACTGAGTTGAGCTCGGTAAACTCCACGTCAGACAGTGTCTTTCTTTATGTCTGAAATTTGTGCTAGCTAAAAATAGGCGGTTATCTGAGCACTGTTGTAGTAGGCGATCACCGTCGTCTGTCCGTTCAACCCGGACTCCGAAAATGCCACCTAAGTGCCTTTCTGCCTCACTCAGCCTACGCACCTACCTGCGCATTGAAGTCACCTGCAACAACCACCACGTCTGAACGTTTGGCTTTCAAGAGGAGGCTAGACAGTTTCCAGTAGAACTTGTCCTTCACTTCCTCCGAATTTCAGTCGGTGGACGTGTAAGCAGAGATTACAAAGAGATAACGGCGAGTTTCACTGTTCCTTTTAGTTCTCACTGTGCTGTTCAGTCGGATTGCGCAGAGGATCCAGTCTAGTAGTGAGGTTTCTGCCCTAGTGCTTAATGATATGCCTACACCTGTGAGACCCGGAGAGCTAGTCATCGAATCTCCAGAAACTTGAAGGGTGAATTTTATGGACTCACCAGATTGGCCGGGAGATGTTAGGTGAATAACCACACTTGGGTCCTGTATGTGTGTCTCACAAACACAGCACACATCTATACCCTGGAGTTGCTAGAGGTCTTTGCCAACGCGAAGCCTGTTGACTAATTTGACGGAGGGTGCGGACATTGAAGGCTCCAATATGTAATTTGGAGCGTGGTTTAAGGGACGAGGGATGCTGTTCTGTGGACTCAGATCGTTGTCAAAGGCTGCAGAGGTAGGAGAAATTGAAGATGATGTAGTATCGTTAGTTGAGAGACGTGAAGGAAGATTAGAAGGTAATGATGGGGGAGATGGATAGTAGTCTGAGGTAACTTGAGTGCTGATCGAGTTGTGAGTGTGGTTGACACTTCCTGGCTGCCCGTACCGTGGAAGGCTATTTCTTCTTGAGTTACCTGAAAGAGATTTATGTGACCGCAGAGCCCATCGAACATCTGCTTGAGGCCTGTCACACTCAGCCTTTTGTGTATGATTATTTTGGATTTCTGCTGTTTTGGGGCCGTATGGTCGAAAAGAAACGACAAATGGACCAACACTGCCGGCCCGGCAGACCGTGGGGTGTGGTGGAGTGTGTTATTTTTGGGGCCGACCGTTTCTAATCCTCTCTTCCACTGAGATGGCAGCATCAGCATGGCACTACTGGTCATCCAAGGGAAACACCTTCCTGCTGTCACACTCCATCCAGCTAGCAGCAGTGCGACTTCGCCCTCAGACCCTCATCATAGTGTAGCAATTTACACCACAACAGAAACTGCTTTTCATCTAGCCATTATCCAACAGACCTTTCTGGTATGGTAGGACCTCGAGGGAACAAGTGTTCCAGCAGCATAGCTCGTTGGGTCATTGTGATATGCAAGCCCGACCACCACGTCAAGGTAGCAGCTATCGGTGAGGAATCTTCAACCATACAAACTAGTACATGAAAGTATGTGAACAGTCCAAAATCTTTAGAATTGATTGATTATTTCCTCAATATTAGAGGTTTCATTGCTAAATCTTACTTATTTCTGCAACACAGAAAGTGAAATCCTAAAGTTTATTGAGTATCATTTTATCCAAAGCATTTCCTCTAACTGATAGCTATCTGTATCACGTTTTACATAGTTTATTTTTATTGAAACCAGAAAAATTACCAGACAAGATTATCGCGTTGTTCCACAATCGCATTTTACGTACCACTTAACAAGATAACTATGAGCACTAGCAGATGGTATTAGGAGGTTGTTCAAATCCGACAAACTAAACATTTTATTGTAGTGATACTTGCAATTTCACGTTGCTATACATGGCCGAACTGCTCGAACCCCGTTGGCAGATGGCTTCCTATACTGCTATAAAAAAGTCACCTAATCAGATCAACGTGACCTGCACTAATCCGCCTCTGTGAATTAGTGCGGCTTCACCACGAAGGAAACCCGTTTCTAACGAGCAAAATCGCCCTCCCGAGTTTCGATATCTAAACCGGCAGGCAAAATACTACACAAACGACTCAATGCATTCCACATGTCAAAGTAACTTACAAGTAGCAGTAGCATTAGCAGTAGCAGTAGTAGCAGTAGCAGTAGTAGTAGTAGTAGTAGTAGTAATAGTAATAGTAGCAGTAGTAGTACCAGCAGGAGTGGTAGCAGTAACATCAGTTGTAGCAATAGTAGTAGTAGAAGTAGCAGCAGTAGCAGTAGTAGTAGCAGCAATAGAAGTAGTGGTAGTAATAATAGAAGTAGTAGCAGCAGTAGTAGTGGTAGCAGTAGCAGTACTAACAGGAGTGGTAGTAGTAGCAGTACTAGTAAAAATGGAAGTAGCAGTAGTATTCATAGTAGTAGTAGCAGTAGTAGTAGTAGTATTGGTAGTAGTAGTAGTAGCAGTAGTAGTTGTAGTATTAGCAGTAGTAGCATTAATAGTAGGAGCGGTAGTATAAATAGTAGTGGTAGAAGCGGTAATAGTAGTAGTAGTAGTAGTAGTAGTAGCAGTAGTAGTAGTAGTAGCAGTAGAAGCAGTAGTAGTAGCAGTAGTACTAGAAATAGCAGTAGTAGTAGAAGAAGCAGCAGTAGTAGTAGTAGCAGTAGTAGACAAAGTGGTAGTAGAAGTAGTGGTAGTAGTAGCAGTAGTAGTATTAGTGGTAGTAGTAGTAGCAGTAGTAGTAACAATAGTAGTATTAGCAGTAGTATTAGTATTAGTATTAGTAGCAGTAGTAGTAGTTGTGGCAGTAGTAGCAGTAGTATTTGTAGTGTTAGTCGGAATAGTAGTAGTAGTAGTAGTAATAATAATAATAGTAGTAGTGGTAGTAGCAGTAATAGCGGCAGTAGTAGCAGTAATTCAAGTACCAGTAGTAGTAGTACTAGTAGTATTATTACTGGAAATAGTAGTAGCAGTGGTAGTAGAAGTAGTAATAATAGGAGTGTTAGTAGTAGAAGCAGTAATATTAGTAGCAGTAGTGATAGTCGTATTATTAGTAGTAAGAGTAGAAGTAGTAGCAGTGGCAGTGATATTCTCAGTAGCAGTAGTAGAAGTATTAGTAGTAGCAGAAGCGTTGGTGGTAACAGTAGCAGTAGCATTGGAGTAGAATTTGCAGTACCAGTATCAGTAGTAGTAGTAGTAGTAGCAGAAGGAGTATCAGTACTAGCAGCAGAAGCAGTAGCAGTAGAAGTAGCAGCAGCCGTAGAATTAGTAGTAGCAGTAGTAGTAGCACTAGTAGTAGTAATATAAGTAGTAGCAATAGCAGTAGCAGTAGCGGTAGAAGTAGCAGCAGTATTGGTATAAGTAGTACCAGTAGTAGTCGTAGCAGTATTATTAATAGTAGTAGTAGTAATAATATATGTACTAGTAGCAGTAGTAGTAAAAGTACTAATAGTAGCAGCAGTAGATGAAGAAGTAATAGTAGCAGTAGCAGTAGTTATACCAGTAGCAGCAGCAGCAGCATTACCAATATTAGCAGTAGTATTAGTAGCAGTAGCAGTAGGATTACCAATATCAGTAGCAGTAGTAGTAGTTGTAATGTTACCAGTAGTAATAGTACTGGTAGCAGTAGTAGTAGCAGTAGCAGTAATATTAGTAACAGTAGTAGTAGTAGTAATAGTAGCAGTAGCAGTAGTGCAGTATCAGCAGTAGTATTAATAGTAGTAGTAGTTGCAGTAGTAGTAGTAGTACTAGCAGTAGTAGAAGGATTGGTAGTAGTAGCAGTATTAGTAATACTAAAAGCAGCAGTATTAAGAATGGTAGTAGAAGTAGTATTATCACTAGTAGCAATAGTAGTAATAAAGTAGTAGTAGCCGTAGTATTAGTAGTGTCAGTAGTAGTAGTAGTATTAGTAGTAGTAATAGTGGTAGTAGTAGAAGCAGTAGGAGTAGTAGTAGTAGTAGCAGCAGTAATGGTAGTAATACCAGTAGTAGCAGCAGTAGTATTGGTAGCATTAGTAGTCGAATTGGTAGTAATAAAAGCGTTAGTAGTAGTGGTAGTAAGAATAGTATTAGTAGCATTGGTCGCAGTAGGAGTACTAGTAATCTTAGTAGTAGTAGTAGTAGTAGTAGTAGTAGCAAAAGCAGTAGTCATATTAATACTAGTAGTAGTAGTAGTAGTAGTAGTAGTAACAGGATTGGTAGTATTAGGAATAGTAGTAGGAGTAGTAGTAGTACCATTAGTATTATTAGTAGTATTAGCAGTAGCAGTAGCAGTAGCATTCGAAGTACAAGTAGCAGTAGCATTATCATTAGTAGTAATAGTAGTGGTAGTACCAGTAGTAGAAGCAATACTAGTAGTAGCAGTAGCAGTAAGAGTAGCAGTAGAAGTAGCAGTAGCAGTAGAATAAGCAGCAGCAGTAGGAGTAGTATTAGTAGTAGTAGAAGCAGTAGAAGTAGCAGTAGCAGTGTCAGTAGGAGTAGTAGTAGTAATAGTAGCAGCAGTAATAGTAATAAGAGTAGTAGTAGTAGTAGTAGCATTAGTAGCAGTAGTAGTAGTAGCAGTAGTAGTAGCGGTAGTTGTAATATTAGTATTAATACTAGTAATATTAGTAGCAGTAGCAATAGAAGCAGTAGTAGTAGTCTTAGTATTAGTAGTAGCGGTATCGATAGTAGTGTTAGTAGTGGCGGTAGTAGTAGTAGTAGTAGTAGTAGCAGCAGCAGTAGTAGTATTATTATTAGTAGTAGTAGTAGAACTATGAGTAATAGTATCAGTAGTAGTAGTAGCAGTAGTATTAGAAGTAGTAGTAGTAGTAGTAGCAGTAGTTGCAGTAATAAATGTAGTATTAGCCGTAGCAGTATTATTAGTGGTAGTACTAGTATTACTATTTGTAGTTGTAGTAGCAGAAGTATTAATGATAGTAACAGTGGTAGTATTAGTAGTAATATTAGTAATACTGGTAGAAATATTAGCGGTAGTAGTAATACCAGTAGTAGTATTGGCAGTAGTAGCATTAACAGTAGTAGCAGTGTTAGCAGTTTCAGTAGCAGTAGCATTACTATTAGTAGTAGTAGTAGTATTACTAGTACTAGTAGTATTGGTATTAGTAGTAGTAGTAGCATTAGTAGTATTAGCAGTATTAGAAGTAATGGTAGTAGTAGTAGCTGTAGTACTATTAGCAGTAGTAGCAGTGGTGGTAGTGTTAGTAATAGTGGTAGTAGTAGTAGTAGTGGCGGTAGCAATAGTAGTAGTAACATTAGTAGTAGTGGTAGTAGTAGTGATATTAGTAGAAGTAGTAATCATATTAGTAGCAGTAGTAGCAGTAGTATTCATAATGTTAAAAATAGTAGCAGTAGTAATGGTAGTAGCGGTAGTAGAAGTGCTAGTAGTAGTAGTAGTAGTATTGGTAGCGGTAGTGGTTGTAATAGAAATAGTAGTAGTAGCAGTACTAGTAGTAGTAGTAGTAGTATAAATGGCAGTAGTATTAGCAATTGTGTTAGTAGTAGTAGTAATACAACCATTAGTATTTGTAGTAGTCGTAGTAGCAGTAGTAGTGGCAGTATTAATAGTAGCAGCATTAGTAGTAGTAGTACTAGTAGCATTAATAGTCATAGTACCAGTATCAATAATAGTACTAGCAGTAGTAGGATGGGGTAGTAATATTAGCAGTAGTAGTATTAGTGGTAGTAGTAGCAGTAGCAGTATTTATGGTGGTAATAGTAGTAGAAATATTAGTAGTAGTAATAGTAGTAGCATTATCAGTAGTATTAGTAGCAGTATTAGCAGTAGTAGTAGTAGTGGAAAAAGTGGTGGTAGTAGCAGTAGCATTAGTAGTGATGCA